ACGGGCGAAGCAACGGGACTCTGTGTGACCGAACGTCCCGCAAGGCTGACCAGTCCGAGCACCAGTGCGAATGACGTACGGACAGCGAGCAGTACTCCATGACCCTCCACGCTGGGCGTACCACTCACGAAGCTGCTGGGGCGAAAGGACCGCACGCGGACGATGCTGCAGCTGCACCTGGCCACTACAAGCAGCTCCCGAACTACTCACTCCAGGACGACTCCCACGACGGCCACCCCGACAACCCCAAGTAGCGTACCACTCACGAAGCTGATGGGGGGCGAGGGACTCACGCGGACGGCGCTGGAGCTGCATCTGGCCACGCCAGGAGCAGCAGTAGCAGTAGAAAGAGCAGTAGCAGCAAGAGCAGCAGTAACAGCAGTGCTCGCCAGTGGCAAGAAGGGCAGGTGTACGACAGCGGCAATGGCGAGGCCGCTACCACCGCAGGGCGAGGGCTCCGCGGCTGCTGCAGGGGCTGCTGTTGCAGGGGCGGCTGCTCCAGGGGCGGCTGCTCCAGGGGCCAGGGGCGGCTGCAGCAGCGGCGGCTGCTCCAGGGGCCAGGGCGCCGCGGCGGGCAGGGGCGGCGGCGGCTGAAACGGCAGCGGCGGCGGCGGCTGCTGTTGTCGGCGGCGGCGGCGGCTGCTGCTGTCGGCGGCGGCGGCTGCTGCGGCCGGGGCAGGGGCGACGGCAGCTGACACGGCAGCGGCGGCGGCGGCTGCTGTTGTCGGCGGCGGCGGCCGCTGCTGCTGTCGGCGGTGGCGGCTGCTGCTGTCGGCGGCTGACACGGCAGCGGCGGCGGCGGCTGCTGTTGTCGGCGGCGGCGGGGCGGCAGGGCCGTGAAGGGGCCGCGAAGGGGCCGCTAAGGGCGGCGAAGGGGCCGATAAGGGGCCGCGAGGGGCCACTAAGGGGTTACGAGGGGCCACGAAGGCGCGGCGACGGGGCCGAGAAGGGGCCGCGAGGGGCCACGAAGGGGCCGTGAGGGGCCGCAAGGGGCCGCGAGTTGCCGCGAGGGAGCCGCGAAGGGGCCGCGAGGGGCCGTGAGAGGGGCCGCGAAGGGCCGCGGAGGGGCCGCGAGGGAGCGGCGAAGGGGCCGCGAGGGGCCGTGAGAGGGGCCGCTACGAGGCCGTAAGAGGGCGCGACGGGCCGCTAAGGGCAGGGGACGCGACGGGAGGGCAGGCACACGGGGAGCGACTCGGGCAGGGGCGAAGCGCGCTCCGGGCAGGAAAAAAAAAAAATCGATTTTCGGTGGGCCCTAGGAAACGTTCCCACTAGGGAACCTGCTCTATACCATGTGAAAGAACGAGGAATGAGTGCACTAGGAAACAAGTGGGTACAAGTAGGAAAAACCTAAAAGTGTTGTACCCCATATTATCTACCCCACTACAGCCTACACAGACTATAGCATATAAGTTTGACACTTTTGGCACAGTCTGATGGTTCGACTCTAATCTGATGGTAACCCTCCCGTAAATCTATTTTCGAAAAAACCCGTGCTGTTCGCAGTTGGTCTATCAGTTCGTCGGCGCAGGGAATGGGGTACCGCGATTTGACTGTTACCCTGTTGAGAGCTCTGTAATCGATGCACATACGAAACCCTCCGTCTTTTTTCAGCGTGAACAGTTTCGGTGCGGCGAACGGTGACGAACTCGGTCGGATGAATTTCTTCTCTAACAGGTAATCTAACTGCTTCCTCAGTTCGTCGAGCTCAGGCTGTGTCAGTCTGAACTGGCGCTGTACAGTTGGTTGTGCCCCCGGTTCTAATTCTATTCGGTGGTCATGTGCTCGCTTAGGTGGCAGTCCCTCCGGTAAATCGTCAGGAAAAATCCCCGGGAATCGTTTCAACAGTTCCTGTAGTTCGAGCGGTACCGCTGTCAGCAGTTTCTTGAAATCACTCGGTTGCTCTACTTCTTCTACCACTGCAATGTCTACTGCGTACACGTCAGCTCCAGCGGCGACAGCCCGTTTCATGGTGACGGCGTTGACGTGTACCGTTGAAGACTCAGGCGACTGCCAGCGAGGTAGTTCGACCCAGTTAGCGCTACTTCGCACAGTGCAGCTACCCGTCGTCCAGTCAATTTGCGGGTTATACCGTCGCAGCCAATCACGTCCCAGTAAAATGTCATGCCCATCCAGTGTCGTCGCGAGCATTTCCTGTGTAAACCCGAAATTCCCCCCGCAGCGGACTTTGACTCTCTCCACCTTTTCCCGTATGGCCAGTGGCGTGCCGTCAACTAAGCGTGCATCTATCTTTGGTAAACACCGGCTAAGTGTCAGTTGCAATTTCCGTGCGGTTGCGGTATTAAGTAAGCTGTGACTTGCTCCTCCGTCGATAAAAATCTTCACTGCTGCTCCCTGTATTTTCCCGTGGGTCAGTACTGGGCAATCCGTCGCTGTACCCTCCTTATTCGTCCGAGCCCGATCGATAGCATGAATCGGTACTGTGACTCGGTGAGGGTCGGTGGGGTTGGGCGAGCAGGCAGTCTCGTCAGTAGTTGGCCCGGTTCCTACTGACTGCTGGTGTTTCCCTGCCTTGGAGACTCCCTCCCCTGCTCTGCTCCGCGGCGCCTTAGCTCCTCTGGGCACTCACTCTTGTGATGGCCCAGCCTATTGCAAGCAAAGCAGCGCCCCTTAAACGGCGCGGCAGCTGCATTTGTCGCAACGGCATGTACGGTGGCGTGCTCGATCGGTCCCCGAGGGCGATGTCCGTAGTAGGACCCTGGTCTACGACGGTGCAAAATTTCGATTTTCTCGGCGAGCGCGAGAATCTCGTTGAAATTCGAGAGTCCACGTAGCATAATTTCGTGCGAGATGTCCGGCTTCAGCCCTCCGACGTAACGGTCCACCCGCTCCGCTTCGTGCATGTATCCGACTTGCTCGCATAATGCGAGAAAACCGCTCGTATAGTCTTGGACCGACCCGAGCTGCCGCCAAGTACGCAGTTTCTGACGCGCCGAAATAGAAGCCGCGATCGGCTCGAAGCGCGCCCGAAGCCCTGCGCACCACGCATCCCACATGCTGTACTGGGCGGTTTTGCAGAATGAGCTCCAGGTGACGGCTGGACCTGCGGGCCCTTCCTCTTGCGACGGTGGCTCGTAGGCGCGTGGCGACGTCACGATGACTCGCCACCAGTCCATGGCGGGGCCCCTCAGAGCGAAACGGCGTATCTAATCTTCGCTTCGTCCGACTCGACATAATTTGTGTCGAAGAATACGTTCATCGTGAAGACCCACGACTGAACCGTCGGACCTCCACGCTGGCTCGGGTCGAAACAGGGCGGGCGCTGCGGCTTGAGTGGCATTAGCGCCATGATGGCGTGGTCGCCGCTTGTCGCCGCAAATTCCACGTGCCGACGGGCTTCGCGAGGCTCCCGCGGGCTTGGCGCGACCCTGTTCCTTTCCATGCCAGGCATCGAGTGGGCGGCGCCATCACTGGCTGCACCTGAGCGTTGTCCCACGCTGTCATTCTGTGTCGGTGTGCCTGATGAAATGATGATCAGCTCCTCCGATTGTGCAGGTGCATTTGCAGGTGCGTGTGGTGGCGCTGTAGTATTCACCGTGGATTGCTGACGCGCGGAGTCACGTTTTGCTGTGAGCGTCGCAATTTCAAGCGCCGACTCCTCAACTTGGCGCACGAGACGGTCGGGTTGCTCCTGCGTTAGTGTCGCGAGAGTGAATTCGGCCATGGCGGGTTGCGGGCAAGCTCAGCGAGAGCCTCTGTCGTGGCCGTGCGTGCTTACGAGAGAGCACTACGAGCGGCGGTGCTGTGTCGCTGAGAGGTGTCTACCCCCCCCAAAAAATTGAGATAGTGGGGAAGCGAAGGTGTGGGTGCGGTACGAGAAGAGATCGTAGGATCTGAATACCAAGTGTTACGAGTGCAATTGAGTGATCGAACGATAATTGCACTATCGAAGCAAGAGTAGAATGAGCGGAAGGCATGAGTGAAGAATATATAGCGAAACTACAATGGTAACGGTAATGAGCTGTGGGTGACGCGCGACGGGCCTGGGACTGAGGTTGGGAAAATGTCGAGGCGGAGGCCCGTAGCGCGAGTTACCCGCCGAGCCGTGAGGTCGGGGTGCGACGTGCGAAGGTGGCGGGAGGATTGTCGATGCGAGGGTTGCGAGTGGTAACGGTGCTGACTGTAGTGCTACAGTGGTGTACGCGCTGAGCAGGGACGCGAAGTAAGGAAAAGGAAATTTTCCTTACAAACATGCAACAGCAACACTCTACGAGGTTCTTCGATAGTTGAATGCATTGAGGCTGCTTCATATTGACATAGAAACAGCTGCACTGCTCATACACATGCTAAATATGGGTGAAGTGTGACTATATCGAGAAGAACGTAGGGTGAGATGCTCCATGGTCGTATGCGGTGCGCGTGTAGGTGCTGGGTATAGAGTTAGGTACTTTCCAGAGGGCTTGACGAATTGAGCTATCTATGTATTATGCTCTAGATTTTTCTGGTGCCATATTCAATAGAAGGCAACATTTATCTATTTTAAAATTTGATTGCACTGCTGTTGATTGGATGGTAGTGATTCATACTTATACAACCCAAACATTATAATTTTTAGCTGTGAAATTTTGGTGGAGGAAGGACAACCCCAATGCCAGCTTCACTTATAAAGCTGGAAATCTATAGCGCATCATTTTGGCGGGAAATTTGACTTCACGAAAGTGTGTTTCTGACGACGCTCCCAAGGGTTAGCGTAGCTGGACTGGCTTGGTGCTATGGGGGGGGAAATCCATTTTTCCGGCCCGATAACTCAAGGTGACATGCGGCAGGAGCAGCAGCAACCTGGTTAGACCCTGGGAATGCCAGTAGCCTCCTAATTCGACCTTGAGAATCTCCACTACCAACGCATTGGGAAGGGTAGTTCCATCTCACGAATCTCATTCTTGTTCATCTTGCCCATTCTTACACCACAGCAGTCTCTGCTTTCAGCTTCTTTTTTCATAAAAAAATCTTCCGCGTGTCGGAGCTTGCTCCTTAGCCACAATATGCCAGGTCCTCAGGTTCACGAGGGGATGGTCCACCGGATAGAGGTGGAGAATTTCAAGTCTTACAAGGGTCGGCAGGTCATCGGCCCGTTCATGAATTTCACAGCCGTGGTTGGCCCGAATGGCGCGGGGAAATCAAATCTCATGGACGCCATAAGCTTCGTGCTGGGCGTGCGGTCTGCGCATCTACGCGGCTCGCAGCTCAAGGATTTAATCTACGCCTTGGACGACGACGATCGCGATGACCCGAACCGCGGAGCGCACGTGATGCTGGTGTATATAAAGTCGTCGCAGCCCGCTTCGACGTATTCTGGGATGGAGGAGCTGCAGTTCACTCGCGCTATAACGAGTTCTGGCAGCAGCCAGTATCGGATCAACGGCTCGGTGGTTTCATGGGACGACTACAACTCGCGGCTTAAGGACATCGGCATCCTCGTTAAAGCACGAAATTTTCTCGTCTTTCAGGTCCGTGCAAAAACGAGGAAAATAAAAGAAAAGAAAAAGGATCTCCTCTGAGTGAAACGACGTATCAATATCAGCATGACGTGGCGTCCTCTCGTGCTTCCACAGGGTGACGTGGAGTCGATCGCGTCCAAGAGCCCCAAGGAGCTGACGGGGCTGTTCGAGCAGATCGCTGGATCGGACGAGCTGCGCAAGGAGTACGAGGCGCGCGAGGCGGACAAGAGCCGCGCGGAGGAGCGCACCATGTTCGCGTACCAGAAGAAAAAGAACATGAGCTCGGAGAAGAAGCACAAGAAGGAGCAGAAGGAGGAGGCCGAGCGGCACCTCAAGTTGCAGCAAAATCTGGTGGGTGGATCCGATCCTGCGCCGACTCTGGGTCATTACATCGTTTATGATGTTTTAAAACCGGGGTGCACATTCAGCTGAATGTGCATCAAAGGTTATCCCTTGACTGAGTGGGTTACGAGGTGTGTTTTCAACCCCTTCAAGTCGAAATTCGTTTCCCCCCTCCCCCGCAATTTCGTTTCCCCACGCCCCCGCAATTTCATTTCCCCCTCCCCGTCGAAATTCGTTTCCCCCCTCCCCCGCAATTTTGTTTCCCCCCTCCCCCGCAATTTCGTTTCCCCCCCCTCCCGCCAATCTGTTTCATCCCTCCCGCCATTCGGTTTCACCCACTCCCGCCATTTCACCCCCTCCCGCCACCTACGAAATGCCCGAAGCTCTAGCGGAATCATTTTTTTGTCGCCCCTCGTGAGCCAATCACTGTTTTTCTCCAAACCCCCTTCCCAACATCTCAAGCCGAACCGCGTTGAATGTGCACCCTGGTTTTAACTACCTTTCCGTTTTTTTTTTTTTTAACAATTTCATCCAAGTGTGGTGTTTGATTTTCCGTGACCGGTTCCCCCGCTTGCCCGTGTGCTTTCGCTTTGTGTTGCAGAAAGACAAGCGCGCCGAGTTTTACCTCTGGCAGCTGTACTGCATCGAGAAGGAGATGAACGCGGCTCGCAGCGCGCTGGCGGCGTCGCGGGAGGAGCTGCAGCGCGTGCAGGAGGAGCAGGGCGACGTGGAGAAGCGGCAGCGGGAGAAGATGCGCGAGCGCGCAGTGCATAGCAAGGACGTGTTGACTGCAGAGAAGAAGGTGGCGCGCAAGGCTGCAGAAATTGACAAGAAGGCAAGTCACAAATTTTTATGTTTGAGAGTCTAATGCGCTATGCAACATGGTCATAGATAAATTCTTTTGCGTTCGCTTCCCTGTTTCAACGCTTCTTTGGCCGATTTTTCCTGCCCGCAGCGGCCGGAGATGGTGAAGGTGAAGGAGGAGATGCGGCGCGCGGAGCAGCGGCTGAAGGAGGACGTGGAGAAGCTGGAGAAGCTGCAGGCGCTGCAGGCGCGGCAGCAGGAGGAGGTGGCGCGGTTGGAGCGCAGCCTGGAGGACGTGCAGGGCGAGCTGGCGGACATGGAGGGCATGAGCCAGGCGGGCGGCCAGCAGCAGCTGCACCTCGCGCAGAGCCAGCTGGAGGAGTACCATAAGAGGTAAGGACGGGGTTGAAAGCGTCTTACCTTTCAGTTTTCTGTACATTTCTTTGATAGCCTTGGGTTGTGGAACGTGCAACGGAGCCTCATGGAAACTACTGTCCGACTCGCTCTGCTGCTGTTGTTGTTGTTGTTGTTGTTGTTTTTTTTGTTGTTGCTTCCGCTGCTGCTGCTGCTGCTGTTCCCCTTCAGGAAGGAGGAGGCAGGGTCTAAGACGTTCAGGCTGCGGCAGGAGAAGGAGGCGCTGGACCGGCAGCAGCATTCGGACGTGGAGGCGCAGAGGAGCATGGAGGCGAGTGTGGCGCAGATGGCGGGCAGGGAGGAGCAGCTGGGCGTGCACCTGGAGCAGGCGCGCGCGCGCGTGGAGCGCGTGGGGAAGGACCTGGCGGAAGGGAGAGAGGCTCTTGAGCGGCTGAGGAAGGAGGAAACTGAGATGCGCGATCGCCACCGCCGCGCTCGGTGAGTTGGTTGGTTGTTGCTGCCGGAAGGATGGCAGGATGGGGGGGGAAGGAGGGGGGGTTGTGATGGGTGGGGAGGGGGGAGGAAAGGGGAGGGGAAAGAGAATGGGGTTGGAAGCGGGTGGAGGGCTGAGGATCTCTGCATTTCTGTTTGCTTCTGGCGTTTCCGAGTTATTTTGTCCTTGTCCAACCCTTGCTTGTACAATTCATAGGACTTTCCTGAACTCCTGCGAGCAGGCACCGAGCAGAGGCACTGGAGCAGCGGTTGGAGGAGGCAGAGGCGCAGCTGCGGGAGCTGAAGGCGGACCGGCGGGAGAACGAGCGCGAGACGAGGATGGCAGAGACTGTGGCGACCATGAAGCGCCTGTTCCCGGGCGTGCATGGGCGGCTGTCGGACCTGTGCAAGCCCACGCAGCGGCGGTTCAACATGGCGGTTACTGTGGTGATGGGGAAGCTGTTTGATGCTGTGGCTGTGGAGGATGAGCGCACGGCCAAGGAATGCATTGAGGTGAGGGCGTGGAAGTTAGAAGGGGATGGAGGAGAGGAAGGGGTTTGAGGAAGTGAGCGGGTGAAGCTAGGGGTTGTGTGCTTTCTGCTGCTGCAGTTGCGTCCTCTGTGCACCTGAATAAGCCTCCGGAGATTTAGTTTCACCTCGTCCTCTGATCTCTCCATGCACACCTAACTTGTTTCTTTGTCTCCTCGGCCTTCTCTCCCTGTTCTTTCCCCTCTCGCTCCCTGCTCACCAGTACCTGCGCGCGCAGCGCCTGCCACCCATGACATTCATTCCCTTGCAGACGGCGCGAGTGAAGGCAGTGAACGAGCGCCTGCGGTCGCTGGGAGGCACATGCAAGCTCGTGCTGGACGTCATTCAATATCCTCCTCACCGCACTCTCTCTGCCCTCTTCCTCTTCCTCCTCCCCCCTCACTCCTCTGGTGCTGCTCTGGTCTTGCCCACTGCAACTCCTCGTTACTTCCTTGTCCCTAATCGCAGTTGCCCTTGTCACCGTTGTTCGCATGACGACCCTTGTTTGCTGTGTTCCAATCATTCTCTGTTCTCCTTAACTCTGGTTCGTTGCATACTCTGTGCTGACTGTGCTTGTGCGCTATTGCTGGGAGCACGTACGATCCATCAGTGGAGGTGGCGATGGTGTATGCTGTGGGTAACACACTCGTGTGTGACACTCTGGATGAGGCTCGATCTGTTGCGTGGGGCGCAGAGAGGCACAAAGGTGTGAGTGTGTGTGTGTTTGGGTGGGGAGCGTGGGGGGGGGGGGGGGGGGGGGATGGTTGCTTCTGTGCGTGTGTGTGTGGGGTGAGAGGGAGGTGTATGTGTGTGGTTCTGTGTGTGTACCTCCTCCTCCTCCATCCTGTTTTACAGGTCGCTTGACCATGGCACGCAGTGATAGTTCTTGACTGCATTGTCTAGACCCATTGTCGTCTTCTTCCATTCAGAAAGTCCCTAAACGCATGAACGTGGAACTTAATGTTGTGTGTGTGTGTGTGTGTGTGTGTGTGTGTGTGTGTGTGTGTGTGCGTGCGTGTGTGAGCGTGCGTGTGTGAGCGTGCGTGTGTGTGCGTGCGTGTGTGCGTGCGTGCGTGTGTGAGCGTGCGTGTGCGTATGTGCGTGTGCGTGTGGGTGTGTGCGTGTGTGTGTGTGTGTGTGTGTGTGCGCGTGTGTGTGCGCCTGTGCGTGTGCATGTGAGTGTGTGCGTGTGCATGTGTGTGTGTGCGTGTGTGTGCGTGCGTGTGCGTGTGCGCGCGCGTGTGTGTGTGTGTGCGTGTGTGTGCGTGTGCGTGCGTGTGCGTGTGTGTGTGTGCGTGTGTGTGCGTGTTTGTGCGCGTGTGTGTGTGTGTGCGTGTGTGTGCGTGTGTGTGCGTGTGTGTGCGTGTGTGTGCATGTGTGTGTGCATGCATGCTGCCACATCCTATCTCACGCCCCTGCATGCGTGGCACACAGTGGTGGCACTGGACGGCACGCTGTTGGCCAAGAATGGCTGCATGACAGGAGGCACCAGTGGAGGCATGGAGACACGCTCGCAGCGCTGGGACGAGCAAGAGGTTGAAAGTAAGCTCCCTAAATGCTCTTTCGTTACTTCTCCCAATCTTTCCTCTTCTTGCGGTTTCTTTAAATTGTGCCCCTGTCCCCCCCCACTTCTTTCTCCGCCTCCACCCCCCTTCCCCATTTCTGCTCCCTCACCGGCCCACTCTCCCTTCTGCTGTTGTCCGTTCTGCACACTTGCATCCCTGCGTCATGACTCGTGTGCGTCATTCTGAATGTGTGCACCATTTGTTTGTGTTGTGTGTGTGTGCCACAGAGCTCAAGGCAGCGCGGGACAAGGTAGCCAAGGAGCTGTCAGAGGTGCTGTCAGTGCGCGAGACACAGAGCAAGGAGCAGGAGATTGCTGCGCGGATCGCAGGGCTAGAGAGGAAGACACAGTACGCAGAGATGGAACTGGTGCGCTTCATGTGCCGTGTGCTGTGTGCTTGTGCTCGCCTGCTCTCTTCCCATTCTGCCCTGTGCGTGCACCATCTGCCATGCATAAGGCCCGGGGGTTGCATTGCATTCCCTCGCAGATTCTTTCGTTCCCTTTCCTTGTCTTTGCACGCATGGACCCCGCTCCATGCACTTTTTCCACTTGCTCTCCCTTTCCACTAGCTCCCCCCCTCTCTCTCTCGCCCTACTCACCTTTGTTTCCCCATGACCCAATCCTGTTTGTGCAGAAAATGTCTGAGGAAAAGGTGGCGAAGGCGGAGCAGGAATTGGCAGTGATGGTAGCAGAGAAGGACAGAATCGCCCCGGAAATCACCCGGGTCAGTGCCTTGTAACGGCCAAGTCAGCGCCAGTTGCTGCATGCTCTGCCTTCTCTGCCTGCTCTGTCTGCCCTGCCTGCCCTTCCTTCTCTTGTCTGCCTGCACTTCATAAGTGCGGGCGGCGTTTACAACCTTCCTTCACTTGTCGACCTTCCTTCAACATTTGGCACACACACACACACTCATGACTTGATCTCTGCATCGCTCTACTCTGTGCAGCTGACTGCAGCAGTAGAGGCACGGCTGGAGCAAGTGGGGGCGAAGGAGCAGAGGATAAACGAGATCATGGACCGGGTGTTCCGCGAGTTCAGCCGCACCGTGGGAGTGGCGAACATACGAGAGTACGAGGAGAACCAGCTGCAGCAGGCGCAGCAGCTTGCGGAGCGCAGGCTCGCTCTTGCCAACCAGATTGCCAAGCTCTCCAATCAGTGAGTGTGGAGCTGCTGCCTCTGATATGAGTTGCAGGGATATGGTTGCCAAGTGTTGTGCTGGCGTCCCGAGTGTTGATGTGGGTGGGCTACTGTGGGCGGCTGTGGGCAGCTGTGGAGTGATGTACAGCGCTAGAGATGGAGGCACGAAAGCTTCTACTAACCAGTGTTTGACTGGGTGTGTGTTGTTTGTGTGTGTGTGTGCGCGCGCGCGCGTGCGTGTGTTTGTGTGTGCATGCATGTGTTTGTATATGTACATGCTTGCGTATGTGCGAGCGTGCGTGTGTGTACCTGTGTGTGTGCGCGTGCGGGCATGTGTTGTGCATGTGTGCGGCGTGTGTTGCCCATGTGACACACAGACTGGAGTATGAGCGGCGGCGGGACAGTAAGGGGCCAGTGGAGGCGCTACAGGCAAGCATGGAGCAGCAGAGGCAGCACCTGGAAGAGCTCACACACACGGGGCGCAGGCTGCAGGCCGCTCTGGAAAAGGCCCGGGACGAGCTGCAGGCACTCAAGGTGCCCGTGGAAGGTGAGGTGCCGGAGGCTGGATTCCGTACATGAATGGATGGTTGCATGTGGAAATTGATGGCCTGCTGATGATGGGTCCAGTGGAAGGTACGGGCTTGGAGGAGCTCACTCATGCAGGGCGTAGGCTGCAGGCCCCACTGGAGAAGGCCCGGGACGAGCTGCAGGCACTCAAGGTGCCTGTGGAAGGTGAGGTGCCGGAGGCTGGAGCTTGGAGGCCTTGAATAAATGGCTGGGTGCATGTGGGAGGCGAGGGTTGCAACAAGGCTGCCACAAGGGTGTAAACATGTTGTGTTGGCCTTCAGACTGTTGATCAAAGGCCGAGCTTCCTCACTGCTGTTGGCCTTTGGAGGTGGCTGAGCTTCCAATGTCTTTGTTGAATGCTTGCTTGTGTGCTGACTAACATAACTCTGAGCCGTGCATCTCATCACCCCCGTCTCTCTGTGTGAGGCTCTGTCCTGCTGTCTCAAAACTCTTGTGTCTCGAACCTCTGTGTCCCACGCCCTGCGTGCAGAGGCGAAGGCCCAGGCAGAGGCAGTGGAGGCAGAGGTGCAGGCTCTGAGCAAGGCTGCCAGTGCACTCACGGCCAAGCTGGGCAAGGCCAAGCGCAGCATCACTGCTAAGGTGCGCTTGATTGCTTGCCCAGTCGGAAGGTATCTTGAAGGGCGAGTGCATTCAAAGCACGGTGGTGCTACTGAGTTGACTGGAATAGAAAGTGTTGAGTTGACTGAAAGAGTGTGCTTGATAGTTGACCGTAAGTTACTGTGAAGGGCAAGGAGGGCATCACAGGTTAACTGGTGCTCTGTGCTCCTCCTGACCCCTTCTTCCCTTCTCCCCTTCTTCCCTTCTCCCCTTCTTCCCTTCTCCCCTTCTTCCCTTCTCCCCTTCTCCCCTTCTTCCCTTCTCCTCTTCTCCCCTTCTTCCCTTCTCCCCTTCTTCCCTTCTCCCTTTCTCCCCTTCTCCCCTTCTCCCGTTCTCCCCCTCTCCTCCCCCCTCTGCAGGAGGCGATGGTGGTGCAGCTGCACGCGCGGAGGGGAGAGGTCCTAGAGCGGTGTGAGATGGAGCAGGTGCCAGTGCGCACAGCAGCGGGTGCGCTCGTGCCCTCAGTGCCGCTCACTGACACACAAGCAACAGGAGCAGCAGGGGGGTCCAGCCAGGCAGGCAGCAGCAGCGCTGTGGGCAGCGGGGGAGGCGCGGCAGCGGATTTTTCGGCAGGGGTGGACGAGCCTCTGGATTTCTCGACGCTGCCTTCCAGCCTGAAGAAGGTGGGTTGGCTCCGTTGCGTGTTGCTCCTGCATGAGGCGACCGAGAAGGTTAGTGTGGTGTGGAGTGGTTTGCGGTGTGCCGGCAACGGGGGAGGAGGTAGGGGGAGCTGCGCAAGAGTGTGGTGGTTGCAGAGCAGACATGGATAATCAACTAGTCGTACTCGTGCATACATGTTACATATGTATGTATAGTGTATAGTGCATAGTGTTTATATGCTGCAGACTCTGTCTGTGCTGCGATCGTGTGTGTGCAGGCAATGACGGGGGAGGAGAGGGAGCGCAAGGAAGCAGAGCTGCGCAAGGAGATGGAGGAGGTGGCGGGGGAGCTGGAGCGCACAGCCCCCAACCTCAAGGCGCTGGAGCAGTTTGAGGCCCTGCGCGCCAAGGAGCGTGAGATGAGCGAGGAGTTTGAGAGCATTCGGCGCGAGGCCAAGGAGGCGGTGAATGCCTTCAACCACGTGCACCAGCAGCGGTGCGTGTTATGTGCCATGCGTGCTTGTATCGGGTTTGTCTGAAGGGGTTTGAGGAGCATTCGGCGTGGGGCCAAGGAGGCAGTCAATGCTTTCAACCACATGCACCAACTTCAGCACGTGCCATGCCATGCCATGCCATGCCTTGCGATGCAATGCGTGGTGATTGCATCGGGCTTGTCGTTTTCTTTTTCCGAAGGAGTCTGAGAGCGTCTGATGTGAAGCCAAGGAGGCTGTGATTGCGTTCAATCGCGTGAACCAGCAGTGGTGCGTGTGATGGCTGCTGATGATTTCTGCCTCCCTGCCTGCTGTTTCTGTTCTATCATTTGGCATGCGTGTGTGCATCTCGACATGCGTCACATAATCCTTTGTTGCCTCCTCCCTTCCCCCCTCGTTCTCCCCTTTTCTCCCACTTCCTGCCCGCCACCCTCTTTCTCCCTCTCCCCTTCCCCATCCCCTGCCGTCCCCTTCCCCCTTGCAGCTACGAGCGGTTCATAGCAGCGTTCGCGCACGTGTCAACATGCATCAACCGCATATACAAGGACCTCACCAATGTCTCACACACTACTAGCCCACTTTCCTCCCACTTCTTACCGGCCTCCTCTCTCCCCCCACCTTCCTCCCCTCCCCCATGCAGCTACGAGCGGTTCATGGCAGCATTCGCGCATGTGTCAACGTGCATCAACCGCATATACAAGGACCTCACCAGCAGCTCCGCGCACCCTCTAGGCGGCACGGCATACCTGAGTCTGGAGAACGAGGACGAGCCCTTCCTGCACGGCATCAAGTACACGGCCATGCCGCCCAGCAAGCGTTTCCGAGACATGGAGCAGCTGTCCGGAGGGGAGAAGACCGTCGCTGCACTCGCACTACTGTTTGCCATCCACAGGTGCTGCTTTGTTCACTGACGACTTGCCTGTTTATGGCTGGTTGTTCCGCTGGTTCTCTCGTTGCCTCGTTTGTCAATAGGCCCATGGTCAACAGTCCAGTCATCCGTTTCCTTTGTTGACCTCTTTCATGCCCGCCTCTTTCCTCCCTCACCTACCCCTCTCCTTCCCTCCCTCCTCCTCTCCTTCCCTCCTGTTCTCCGCTGTCGCCTCCCCACAATTACCTTCTTGCATTTACCACCTGCTACTCTCTTTCTGCTTACCTACGCAATGCAGCCCTTAATGATATCAACATAGTCAGTTTCCAGTGTGCAGTTCAGCAAAGCCCCGCGCTCTATTTCCTCTTTTCCTCTCCCCCTCCCCCTTTTCCGCAGCTACCACCCGTCGCCCCCCTTTGTGTTGGACGAGGTAGATGCAGCATTAAACAACCTCAACTTGGCTAAAATCGCGCCATACATCCGCGCCATACATCCGCGCCATACATCCGCGCCATACATCCGCGCCATACATCCGCGCCATACATCCGCGCCATACATCCGCGCCATACATCCGCGCCATACATCCGCGCCATACATCCGCGCCATACATCCGCGCCATACATCCGCGCCATACATCCGCGCCATACATCCGCGCCATACATCCGCGCCATACATCCGCGCCATACATCCGCGCCATACATCCGCGCCATACATCCGCGCCATACATCCGCGCCATACATCCGCGCCATACATCCGCGCCATACATCCGCGCCATACATCCGCGCCATACATCCGCGCCATACATCCGCGCCATACATCCGCGCCATACATCCGCGCCATACATCCGCGCCATACATCCGCGCCATACATCCGCGCCATACATCCGCGCCATACATCCGCGCCATACATCCGCGCCATACATCCGCGCCATACATCCGCGCCATACATCCGCGCCATACATCCGCGCCATACATCCGCGCCATACATCCGCGCCATACATCCGCGCCATACATCCGCGCCATACATCCGCGCCATACATCCGCGCCATACATCCGCGCCATACATCCGCGCCATACATCCGCGCCATACATCCGCGCCATACATCCGCGCCATACATCCGCGCCATACATCCGCGCCATACATCCGCGCCATACATCCGCGCCATACATCCGCGCCATACATCCGCGCCATACATCCGCGCCATACATCCGCGCCATACATCCGCGCCATACATCCGCGCCATACATCCGCGCCATACATCCGCGCCATACATCCGCGCCATACATCCGCGCCATACATCCGCGCCATACATCCGCGCCATACATCCGCGCCATACATCCGCGCCATACATCCGCGCCATACATCCGCGCCATACATCCGCGCCATACATCCGCGCCATACATCCGCGCCATACATCCGCGCCATACATCCGCGCCATACATCCGCGCCATACATCCGCGCCATACATCCGCGCCATACATCCGCGCCATACATCCGCGCCATACATCCGCGCCATACATCCGCGCCATACATCCGCGCCATACATCCGCGCCATACATCCGCGCCATACATCCGCGCCATACATCCGCGCCATACATCCGCGCCATACATCCGCGCCATACATCCGCGCCATACATCCGCGCCATACATCCGCGCCATACATCCGCGCCATACATCCGCGCCATACATCCGCGCCATACATCCGCGCCATACATCCGCGCCATACATCCGCGCCATACATCCGCGCCATACATCCGCGCCATACATCCGCGCCATACATCCGCGCCATACATCCGCGCCATACATCCGCGCCATACATCCGCGCCATACATCCGCGCCATAACATCCGCGCCATACATCCGCCGCCATACATCCGCGCCATACATCCGCGCCATAACATCCGCGCCATACATCCGCGCCATACATCCGCGCCATACATCCGCGCCATACATCCGCGCCATACATCCGCGCCATACATCCGCGCCATACATCCGCGCCATACATCCGCGCCATACATCCGCGCCATACATCCGCGCCATACATCCGCGCCATACATCCGCGCCATACATCCGCGCCATACATCCGCGCCATACATCCGCGCCATACATCCGCGCCATACATCCGCGCCATACATCCGCGCCATACATCCGCGCCATACATCCGCGCCATACATCCGCGCCATACATCCGCGCCATACATCCGCGCCATACATCCGCGCCATACATCCGCGCCATACATCCGCGCCATACATCCGCGCCATACATCCGCGCCATACATCCGCGCCATACATCCGCGCCATACATCCGCGCCATACATCCGCGCCATACATCCGCGCCATACATCCGCGCCATACATCCGCGCCATACATCCGCGCCATACATCCGCGCCATACATCCGCGCCATACATCCGCGCCATACATCCGCGCCATACATCCGCGCCATACATCCGCGCCATACATCCGCGCCATACATCCGCGCCATACATCCGCGCCATACATCCGCGCCATACATCCGCGCCATACATCCGCGCCATACATCGCGCCATACATCCGCGCCATACATCCGCGCCATACATCCGCGCCAATACATCCGCGCCATACATCCGCGCCATACATCCGCGCCATACATCCGCGCCATACATCCGCGCCATACATCCGCGCCATACATCGCGCCATACATCCGCGCCATACATCCGCGCCATACATCCGCGCCCTACATCCGCGCCATACATCCGCGCCATACATCTCCGCGCCATACATCCGCGCCATACATCCGCGCCATACATCCGCGCCATACATCCGCGCCATACATCCGCGCCATACATCCGCGCCATACATCCGCGCCATACATCCGCGCCATACATCCGCGCCATACATCCGCGCCATACATCCGCGCCATACATCCGCGCCATACATCCGCGCCATACATCCGCGCCATACATCCGCGCCATACATCCGCGCCATACATCCGCGCCATACATCCGCGCCATACATCCGCGCCATACATCCGCGCCATACATCCGCGCCATACATCCGCGCCATACATCCGCGCCATACATCCGCGCCATACATCCGCGCCATACATCCGCGCCATACATCCGCGCCATACATCCGCGCCATACATCCGCGCCATACATCCGCGCCATACATCCGCGCCATACATCCGCGCCATACATCCGCGCCATACATCCGCGCCATACATCCGCGCCATACATCCGCGCCATACATCCGCGCCATACATCCGCGCCAAGCCCCATGCTCTCTCTCCTCAATCCCTCTCCCTTTCCTGCTCCCCTTCCCACCTTGCCCCTCTTTGTGTTGGACGAGGTGGATGCAGCTCTAGACAGCCTCATCATGGCCGTAGTCGCAGCATGCATCCGCGCCAGGTCCCACACTCTCTCTACTCAATCCCTCCCCCTTCCCCCGCCCCCCCCACCCGTCCCCCAGCTACCGCCCGTCGCCCCTGTTTGTGTTGGACGAGGTGGATGCAGCTCTAGACAACCTCAACGTGGCCAAAGTCGCGGCATACATCCGCGCCAAGTCCCGCCACACCGCTCACGCCTCCGACCAGCAGGCCCCAGACGGCGGCGCTGCTGCTGATGCCTCGCAGCGGCTGGCAGATGGGGCGGGCGGAGCGGGGGGTGAGGCGGGGTTTCAGAGCATTGTGATCTCGCTCAAGGACCAGTTCTACAGCTGGGCTGATGGGCTCATTGGGGTTGTGCGCGACTCTGAAGACAGGTGAGGGCTGGGAGGAGGGGGGTGGCAGATGGGGGGTTGACTGAGGGGGAGTGAGTGAGGGGGAGTGAGTGAGGGCGGTTGACTGAGGGAGTGAGTGTGTTGGCAGGGCAGTGGAGGGCATGTGTGTGTGCAGTATTGTGATGCTAGGGTCCACTGCCCGGGTTGCTGCCCGCTGCTCACTCACTCATGGCCACCTGCTTGCCTTTGCTGTGGCCTTTGCCTTGGCTGGGTTCTGGTCTGTGCTAGGAACGAGGATTGAGTATGCAATGCCGTTGTTCTTATTTAACTCTTCCCTCCTCTGTTCTGCTTGTGCATGCACATGGGGGTGTGTGGTGTTGTGTGTGTCTGTTTTTGTGTGTGTGTGTGTCTCGCTCCCTCTCTCTCTCTCGCTCTCTCTCTCTCTCTCTCTCTCTCTCTCTCTCTCTCTCTCTCTCTCTCTCTCTCTCTCTCTCTCTGTGTCTTTATGTGCACGTGTACAAGCGTGTGCGTGTGTCTGTGTGTGCACGCGTGTCTCATTTTGTGCGTGTGCGTGAGTGTGTGTGTCCGTGCGTTTGGGTGTGCGCGTGTGCTTGCACATGTGTGCATGTTTGTGGGGGCATGTGCGATGGTCGGGCAACACACACTCGTGGATGGCATGGGCTGCAGCTGCTCCAAGACGCTCACCTTTGACTTGTCCCAGTATGCTGCGTAATACTGTCCAGAGGAACAACCTCCGAACTGTGCCGTGTCATTCCGTGCCTCTCGTTGGCCAGCGGAACGAAGACGGGTGTGATGGGATGTTTGCTACTAGTTTCTGTCGTCATGGTGCAATCTTGTTGCCGGACTTTTTGTTCAGAACTTCAGTAGAAACACTTCATCAGGGTTCTGAAAATTGTTACACTGTGGCCTAAGGGTAAATTTCTTGAAACTATGAAAAACCCTGATGGAAAAGAATTTTCCCAACGGGTCACACTGATTATCAGGGTTTTGCGAAGGTGCAGCACTGATGATAAGGGTTGCTTAAAAATGAATATTTTTAAAAGTGTAACGCTTTTCAAAATTTCGTATTTTGAAAGCGAAGCAGTCTGTAATGTAGGAATGGGCAGCGACGAACCGCGCTAAACGCCCGTTTTGGAGTACAAAACGTGGGCTGGAGGTCATTTCCCTCCACCCACATCTCTCATTTTCAAACGGTTTAGCCGATTTTCCCGCCCACCCACCCCTTGAAATGTGTTAGCACATTAGTCTGATAGGCTGCTTGGATTTCAAATTGTACTAAACCCATTTGAAATGAGACGATGCCATTGCTACATGAAAGAAAGCAAGCTTTCTAAATCCAGAAATTAGCCCTGCTTGCTACTCGATTCACAGCTGAATATGAGGTGTTGAATTGATTGCTTAGCAGAGGTGCAGTGCAGAACGCCAGGTCGACGCTGGCCACTTCGAATGATATCACGCGCAATTCAATGCAACTGAGTTGCTTGCAGTGCCCTAGATATCAGACTTTGTAGTCTGATTCAGAGTCCGTTCAGACTTTTTTTTTGTACCTAGTCTGAAGTCTAGGAATTGTTTTTATGTACCTTGTCTGATTTTTCTGAGTTTTTTTTTATGATTTGTCTGAAATTTCATCCTAATTTTATTAGGGCATGTTCCTACCAGGGCCCAAATTTCAAGGGTATTTTACCCTTTTTGCCCTGCTCATAGGCCACTTTTTGGCAGTTACCCTTTTCAAATCAGGGTATGCAGATTTTTACCCTAGTGCAATCAGAATACGCTTAAAAGTACTCTTGTAGCTTTTCCAGTTACACTGACTGTATCAGGGTAGGGGTTCAACTACCCTTTTACCGGAACTTTTCCGTACCGCGGATTCCGCCACAGTCCGCGCCACGACGAAATGCTCCACGGTCCCACTGGACCATTTGTTGGATACACCCACTGGCGCGCCAACGTACATTCAGGGCGGATGGCACCGCACACCTACGATTGGTCCGTTGAGCGACATTGAAGCCAACGCACCCAGTTTCCGTGCGTCACGCAACATCGCGCACTGCCAACGGAGGCAAATTGCGCGCCAGGTGGGGTACGTGCTGTCGTTTCCACCACCTGGCAGTCACTGTGGCCTTGCAGCCATTGCCGTGCAGTTCCCTACCAGCGAGGGAACCTTGCTGCCTGAGGCGCCTTGGGCTTTGTGATTCCCGAGGGGTCTCTCAGGCTCTTGCCATTCTCTCGTTTCCCTCTCGTTTGTTGTTCCGAATGCCTGCCTCTGAGCCTGATCCGCCTGGTAGCACCAGGAACGGTCTCTCCGTTCTCGGTGTGTTACCTCGGCTGGCTGAGAACTATAGCGTCCCTATCTCTCAGCCTGCGCGTGAGCCATCCCCTGAATTTCTTGTCGGCACCGTTTTCCCGTGCGAGCGTTCGGCCTCGCCAAAGTCCCGGGAGCCACACCCGTCTCTCGAGCTTGTTCCCGATGGCGGCGAAGGCCCGTCGAAGCCGGCCACTGCAGCCCCGTCCACAATTAGCTCCGCGCCCGCGAAGCGACAGCGTGTGGGCGTGACATACAAGCAGCAGAGGCTCTGGGGCGCCCCTCCTCCACGACAAGAGGCATCACCGCCACGCCGTGCTGCTCCTGCTCAGCCGAAGCCTCCAACCGCTTCTGCAGAGGCTGAGTATGAGTTGGTAAAAACGACTTTCGATTCGCAATGGTCAAAGAAATTCAGTTGGCTGCGCTTAATGCGCATGACTAACGGCAGGCCGTCATTGAAATGTGCCATCTGCATCAAGCACGGGGATCCAAACGCGCACACTGCCTACGGCGTCAGAGGTGAGGGTGCCCGAGACATGCAGCTAGGGAGCATCCGCGCGCACACATCAAGCAGAGCCCACAAGCAGGCCTTGGAAAACGAGGCCAAAGCAGACGCGGAAAAGGCGAAGCAAGCCACACTAACAAGGTGGCAGAGCACTGATGCAGCTACACGGCACATCATCCGCTGCCTCCACCTCGCGCTCTTCATCTGCAAGGTTGACGCGCCAATAGCAATGTTTGTTCCTTTGTGCTGGTTTCTGGCTAAGGAAGGACTGCCGGACCTTCCACCGTCTGGAGGGTACGGCGCCTACTACACCGAGTAAGTGCGGGTTCGTGGCGCTTGTGTTTGTTCCGTGACTCAAGCTGACCAGATGCTACTGCAACTTGTGTTCGTGTACCATGTGTGTTGTCCTCGCATCTACGGATTCAAAGAGATGCTGCGCGCAACCTCCACTTACCTTCAAGAGACTCAACGCGGCCACCTTCTGGAATCCCCATATATAGGGATTCTTCTGGATGAGAGCACCGACCGGGTGAATGGCAAGCACCTGATACTGTATGCGACATTCTTCAAAGGGGTAACTCCGGTAACGGAGTTTTTAACTCTCATTACCGTGGACCGTGCCGATGCGGCCTCGCTATCCTCCGCTGTTGTGCAGTACCTTACAGGAATCGGGGTGGATCTCCAGAGGATTTCTGGAATATCTACGGACGGGGCGAGTGTGATGACAGGCAAGAACAACGGTCTAGTCGCGAGGCTGCGACTGCGCATACCACACCTGGCTTCAACTCACTGCGTCGCTCACAGGTACGCATGTTGGATTCTGAGTTTTTTCCAGCACAGGATCAGTGACGCGCAAACCGTACTAACATGCTCCAGTTGAATGCGCAGGGAGGCATTGGCAGCTAAGGATGCGGCGGAGGCAGTCCCCGAGCTCGGCATGGTGGACGACGTGGTGCGTGCCTTCTCCGAGCACATCGGCCGCAGCAGCGTGGACTACACCAAGTTTCAGAATCTCCAGCGCGTCTACTGCCAGACGAATCTGGAGGCGCAGGGCATAAACGACGTGCGCTGGCTCTCCCGTGGCGAGGCGATCCAGCGGTTCCTTGACGTTCTGCCTGCCGCCATTGTCGTGCTGAAGGACTACAAGAAGGACTTGTACGAGGTAGTCACCTCGTTCAAGTTCCACTGGCTCATCCGCTTCCTCGCGGATGTGCTCTGGGAGCTCAACCAGCTCAATCTGCGCTTTCAGCAACGTCACGTAACCAACTGACAAGCACAGTTGTACTTATACGCACGCCTACAATGCTCTTTCTGACCGCATGTCTTATGTGTGTGCAGGTGGACGTCACCCTCGTGGCGCACCTTGTACAACAGACGCGGATGCGCCTGAAGACGCGCTACTTCGACAGGTCCCCTGGTCACTTTTTTGGCAGCGGAGAGAAGATGCAGCTGCCTGACTTCATCAAGGCTCACCAGAAGATGGATAAGCGACAGATGAAAGCGGAAGGCGTGGACGCGGACGGCAACGCCGTCTCCTTCGAATTCACCCTGCACGAACGCCCCCTGCCAGGCCATGAGACAGACGGTGATGTAACCGCGTGCTTCGAGCTTTCGCTCAAGTTCATCCGCAAAGTGGACGCGGAGCTGGAGTGGCGCATGCGCGACCTCAACCTCCTCGAAGGCGCCAAGCTGTTTCGTACGGCGTCGTATGTGGCCGACGACACCCAGCGGCTGGAGTCCTTCAGGAAGTGGCTTGGCCAGCTCCACAAGCTGTACAACCACAAGCTGCCTGGTAAGCGTGTTTGTTAGATGGGGCGGGTATTAGTGATTGACTTGCGTAAACAGCTTTGCACCAGCTTGTTTCCCATCGCGCTTGTTGCTACTCATCACCCGGCCCTGTATTGTGGACTAATGCCTCCCAATCCTACCCGTATGTATGAGCGTCTGCCAATGATCATCCCCTTCCGCACTACCAGGGTTCGACTACAAGCGTGCCGGCCAGGAGCTCTGGATGTTTACCTTGTCAGAGGTCCACTGGTGATCCCCGATTGATCCTAGGGAAGGGTTACAGGCTCGTTGTCCTGGGGGGTTATGGGCGCACTGACCCGCTACTTAACAAGCCCTTTTATCCCAATGGTCTAGTGGTTGGGATTCTGACATGTTATCAGAGCGAATGTCTCGGGTTCGAATCCCAGTGTGTGCACTTCGGGCATCCCAG